AAAAATCTAGTACCGTCTTTATATTTTATTTCCTTCCTCCGTTTGGAGTACCAGAAATTGAATTCACTACGAATTTTGACCATGATAAACGACATGTGGAATGCAATCTTAGATTTCCTTGTCGAGTTATTTATCAAGCTGTTTGCTTTGCAAGTTTTAGAAAGCATGGTGGTCAAAATTTGAATCCGATTTCGCCAGGTAGAAATCGTTTGATTTCTATTTTTGTTATTAGATTTTTATTTTTACGTACATCCCGAATATATATGATAGACTGAATATTATTTTCTGAATATTATTTTCCTCTAATATATAAATCGATTTCGTTGTTTGTAATAACTTGGACTTGATGATATGCGAATAGTATTTTATGTGATATTTTTCTAGATGGGATTTATACTAAATATAGTTTAAATTTAAAGTGTTTATAAATTTATAAATGTATGATTTATATCTAATTATCATATATAAAACGGTAACTATCTTTTAAATTTAGTGAACACTTGTTGGGAAGCATTTTCATTTTGTTTTCATCACAATAAAAGAACATTAGTAAATTAATGTTGTGTTTTAGTTACTCGCATCATTGTCATATCCTGTAGACTTTGCTTTTGGTATTCGTACTTTTATGCTGTATTGATACAGTTGGTTTTGTTCTTCCTGGTTGTAGATCATCACAAGAAAACTGCAAAATTATGCTAGAATGTACCATAATAGATTTAAGTTGTTGATCATCTCACAGAAATCCAGTATTTTTTAGTAAATTTTATTTATTGATAACAAATGGGACAAACTCATTGTCAAAATTAAACAAGAATCCAGCATTAAAGAAATTGCAAGTAAATACACACTTATTTATACAAAGTATCATTATGTATTTTAGTGTTTCAAATAGAACCTAAAGATATTGATACATAAACAAATCTATCTAATGAGGTAACTGATTAGCATGCATGAAAAGTAGGACCACACCTATATCTGTACCATAATTTATTCATTCGGTGATGGGAAACATGAAAAAGTGAATTCTAAAGCAGTGAACGAGAAGGAATATGTAAAACAAATTGGCTGAAGCAATTCAGGAGATTGGATTATTCTGCTTAACAATAATGATCAAAGTCAAAGTTAACTCTCTGGTAAGAAAAAAATCTAGATTCAAGAAATTGATCACACCAGAATAAGAATATGGTCTACGCAGTTTAAAAGAACAGTATTTCAGATATCTTTGAACTCTCTCTAACTTTTTGATACATGGTTGAGTAAATGGAAAACAAAATAGAGCTGAATGTGTATAGCTTTGTTACATATAAGATGTATTTGCAAATTAAAACACAAATTTCTGTGAAAAATCATACTTAGATCTGTAACATTATTGACTCTCCGGATCCAATATATTGGAAGTGAATTGAAAAAAAAAAATTCCAACATAAATAAACAAAGTTAGGTTAGAATTGACGAGTAAGATTGTCCGATACTAATTACTGGATTACCGCAAGGCCGAGATAATCAACAAAAGAAGAAGACGTATTTGGTGACTTTTCTAATAACTTTCTTGGGTGTGAAGCTGTCTTTTTAGTTTACTCCTTCTGGTTAAAAAACAGGATTAGAATAATTTTTCACCTAGTAACAAAAAACATTTTTTTTTTAAATTTATTAATGTGTGTATTTTGAGAACAATTTCCGAAGTGGAAATCGAAAATTCAAAAATAAACTTATTTTAAACTTTTGTTTAAAGTGAATTTTGTGATTTTATTAAAAGCAGTAAAAGGTATGATAATAATTACAAAGATATGGAAAATAGAGGTCTTTTTGAAAAAATTAATTAACATTTTTGACATTTATTGCAAATTTTTGATGTTCGTCAGTACAATTATTTTGTGTTTATTCAAATTGTCCGTATTATAAACTGATAATTTTAATGTAGTTCGGATAAATTCATGTCTAAATCTGTTATGCTTTAACTACATTCGTACGAAGGTGACATTTTGATTGACACTTCAGATTTGTTTTAATATTTACTATTAATTAAACTCTGACGGCTTTAAGGGACTAACATGGGAAAATGCATTAAGCAAATTTTTTATGGTGGTGTGAAAAGCAATTATTAAAAAGAATTTCTTAACCTAATTAAGTAAGTACGCCTAATAAGAGGTTTAAGTTTCTTTAAAATAACCCGAAATTTCAGCAAAAACCGGCCGGCCTGATAATTTATATGATTTCAGGCTAACTTTGCACCACATTGAAACTGGTTCATGACCAAGTAATTTTGTATTTTAGGATTCCCGAAATGTCGAAAAAACAGATACAGTCTACATACTGGGGTCCGTCGGTTTGGAACTAAAAGCCGATATACAGAGCAACACCTACAAACAGTACTAGAACAGGCTAAAAGTGGAATGCTGAGTGAAAGGCAGGCCTAAAAATAATACGATATCCCGCGTAACACAATTCGAAATAAATTAAAACGAAATCATTCAAAAAACGGAGGAAGACCTACAGTATTTTCTCAAGAAGAAGAAAAGTCGATAGCCAAGCATGTTATTTCTTTAAGAGATAATGGAATTCCAATATCTTTGTTTGATGAGAGATGCATCGCACAAAGTTACATAAATTCTCAAGGGAGAAAAGTATCCCAGTCTAAGGAAAATTTACCCGGTTGGGATTGGAGCCAATTATTTTTGGGAGAGAAGCCGCACAGAACTAACTCTAAAGGTTTCAAACGAATATTTCGAGGAGGGCTCAAGTAAATGAAGAAATAATAAGTAAGTTTTTTGATAACTTGGAGATAGAAATTTCTGACGTCGCACCCAACAATATTTAAAATTAAAATGAAACAGTTCCATAACGTTCCAACAAAAAAAACTTTTATTCAGAAGAGGGTGCTGGAATGAAAATTCTATATTTGATGACTGATTTGAGACACATTTTCTACCGTACGCCAACAAAAAAGAAGGTAGAAAGATCTTGATAGGCAACAACATGTCAGCACATATTTCAATAAAGAACTTGGAAGGAAACATATTGTTCGTTTAATATTTTTCCCTCAAACTTTACCCACTTACTGCAACCGCTGGATGTGGGGTATTTTGCCAGTCTTAAAACATATTGTCGCCAAATTTTAACCCAGCGGAGAGCGACCTAGGGAGGAAGAAAGACAGTAGCTATGCCAAAATCAGTATTTTGCCAACTTCTCAAAGCAACCCTAGACCTCGGAAAGGACACTGCAGCTCGTAATCTCAAAAAGGGGTTTGAGGCTTCAGGAATTTATCCCACTGGCAGAAACGAGGCATTGCTAAAACTTCCGTTGTATGCTCGACCAATGGGTGAAATAAATGGAGATATTGGAAAATAATTTAAATTATACGTAGAAAAGATTCGTGAAAATGATTTGCAAAACGTTACGTGGGCAAAAAAATTCTGTCTTCCACTGACTGCTGGCAAAAGTGTTTCAGTCGAAGAAGTAAACAAGTATTATCAAAACAGGAGTTCAACTACTAGCAATACTAGAAAATCTATACCAAGAGGTGGACCTAACCCACAAGATGTAATAAAACCACGAGGTGGACTAAAAACACGATGTGGGCCAAAACCACGAGGTGGACCAAAAATACGAGGGGGTCATAGATCGCAAGGATCGATTACGACCAACAGAACTGTTGAAGAAGCATAATACATACCTGCAGTTGAGGACAATGTGCAAGAAAATGAAGACGCTGACAAGGTAAACGAAGAACAGATGCTGGATTATGAAGATCTGCACGGTCAGCAAATTTTGGAAGAAACCAATATGACATGAAATTATAGTCGAGGTCTCAATTGGCTACAATTTCGACATTGACAATATGCCAGTAGATATTGTACTGTCAGAAGGGACAGAACAGGATCAAATCGTCAGTAATGAAGATGAACACATAGTAAGTAGAACGAAGGAAAATAAAGGTAAAAATTGCAGTGAAGTAACCAAGGAACGCAAGACAGAACAGAATAAACTGGAAAATCAGCAGAAAAGGACTTCGCATTCCCCCCAATCATTTTCCTTGGGTGATATTCAAAGCAAGAAGGTTCTGGCAGAAGCTATTCATTTTAAAAATCAAGAATTATTTTCTGGATTGTGTTATTTTTGTACCTTCAATGTTTTTATGCATTCATTAGGTATAAAATGTAAGAAGTGCATAAGAATATATCATTCGAGGTGCATTGAAAATAACAGACTTCACAAATCAAATTCAAATATGTTTATTTGTACCACTTGTTTAAAGAAACTTTGATTCACCTATTGAGTGAAAAATTTAATATTTCTGTTGGTAAACTAACGAAGAATCTTTATTTAGTATTGTTTGGTAGGAATTTAGTTTCCTAATAAATATTTTTAAATTAGTTTTAGAGTACATATTTTTAAATCAACCCATGAACAGTCATATAAAACAGAATGGTAACCAGGCCTAGGCTTAACATTCTGTGCTGTGTAACAACTGCATCTGTAACCGTAATTTTTGTACATCCGACGTAACCTAATGTCCTCTTGCAAAGTTGTCCTGATGGTTTAAAACACCAAATATATAGGATTTTCCTTATAAATATAGATATGGTTCAAAGTTACACCCATTGCGGGTCTAACTTTGAACCATGCCAAATAATTTTTTTTTTTTATTATACTTGCTACTGTTGAAAATTTTTAAGCTTGTAAGACATTATCGAACTATACAAAGTCATAATATAATATAAAAAGACAACTAAGGAGGTCAGTGTAAAAATAAATCAAGAAAATATTTAACAAGTGGATCAAAGTTAACCCGAATGACTGTAATTTATTAGATAGTTGGGATTGTGATTAGCGAACCGAGTATAACTATCCCTATCTCCAGTACTATTTTAAAAATGAGGCAGCATTGTCCATCGGTGACACCATATTTATAAATATTACACAGTTAATCAAAAATATATAAAGTTATATGTAGGCCCAATCTTATTCTCAAAATTTACGTACTAAGTAAAACACTTACTACTTTCAGATACAAGCGATATTACATCCATAAACTCCGGAGGTACTGCAGGAACTTCTTTAGATTTGGAAAAATTGGAACGAGCAGCTGGTTCAAACTTCACTGATAGAGAATTGGCTTCTTCATAGTTCACAAAACTAACAGCTGATTCAGATTTCAATGATACAGAAGGAATTTCTTCACGGTCTTGAAAATTTAAACGAGTGGGTGGTTCACGCTTCACTAATACAGAAGGAAGTTCTTCACGGTTCTGAAAATTTAAAGGAGCAGGTGGTTCACTCTGCTCTGATGCAGAAGGAAATCTTTCATATTTCGGATAATTTAATTGAGGTGGTTGTCCAAATTTCGATGGCATTGCTGGAACTTCTTCACCGTTTTGGAAATTTAAACGCGAAGGTAGTCCAAATTTCGTTGGCACTGCTGGTGCAATTTCTTCACAGTGGTGTACTTTTAAAAGATTTGAAAACCTATAAGAAATACAGGTTATACGGTAAAAATTAAAAACTAAAGCCAGTTTTTTACAAAAAATTGTTTTATTAACATATTTCGTTTGCCATTAGTCCAGTCAGCAGAATCAAATACTTTAAAGAGGGCAAGGGACGAAATGTTTGAAGGAAATATCACAATTTAAAATCAAAAGAATTAGTTTTGTACTAAATTCATAGAAATAAAAAATAAACGTGGATATATAACTATAGCCAATTTTAAAAGTCAACCAAAATATGTAGATTTTTTTGACGTTATTTCCCAACGATACTTTCAAGTCCGCCAAATTTTATAGGCCGTAAGTTTTTAGAACGATTCTTTATAGAATCTATAAATGTTCTCCATTCAAAATGGAGAGGATTGAACCACTTTGGAATGTTCATTTAAAATACACATTCGATGTGTTTTGCAACGTATAAATCGGAAAACTTGCATCGATATTTTTCAATGTATCGAATTTAAACATCGATGTTTCCGATGCATAGATAAACATATCAATAAATTTTTTGATAGCTGAAAATATAGGAAACAGTAAAGTAAGACAGGTCATATGAGATCAGAAACATGAAACATTACATTGTTAATAACGTTTGACGTTTTGACGTTTGACGTTTTTGAGAAATCGTTCTCCAAAAAGATATTAAAAAAATTGTGAGAAAAATGTAAAGAACAAGTTGGTAACTTGGGTTGTTTTTCAAAAACGGGCTGTTGACACTTGGTCTCGATCTTTTAGGCAATAGCACAGAATAATAAACAATCAGAATGCTCACTCTGCTTGAAAAAATAAGTACGCGCATCTCGTTCGCACAGACGGAATCAGCCATGTTTTAAAAGGAACCAGTGCTGCTCAGTGACATTTTATCTAGCGTGAATAGAAAAATTAACCCGGTCTAATTTATTTACGGCAACTATAGACATAATATGCACTATTTTATTCGTACTTTTAGTTGAAGAATAGATTTAATGATTTCAAATGTACTAAATTATTAATCTCTAGAAATTTAAATTACAGTTCTGTCGTAGCTTGTCACAAATTTCTCAATTCGAGTCTATGTTTCCGTTTAAAATATGGCGATCGCGTGCTGACAAACTTTGCGCGCGCCCACTGAGAGTGGGCATTCTGATTGTTATTTATTCTGTGGCAATAGCATTCTTTTAGTTGACAAAAAATCTGAGGGTGGTGTTTTTGCCTCGAAGTAACAAATTCTGACTGCTTTGTGTGTTTTATTTTTTTTGTATTATATGTATTTACTGTAGATTATGTGTTTGTGTGCATATATTATGTATCCGCTATTGTTTGTATGTTCCTGTTGTTGACTTCTTCTTTTAGTATTGACAACCAAGGCCTGCTAGATTCTGCTGTTGGGTTTGCTACACATTTATCGTCATTAAGTAGTATGAGAACTGCTTCTTTTAATTTTTCTCTTTTTTTTAATAACTTTTTTGAGAACGATTTCCGGAGTGGAAATCAAAACGTTAACGTAATGTTCATTACAATCAATTGTGGCTTAACACAATATTTAACATAATATTTAACTTAGACATGCCATAAGAAAACAGTTGCAGAACCTATTTATACAATCTAAAATTTTAATACTCTTATTTTTATTTAATTTTATTACGTTGTATTCAGGGTGTGGCAGATAAACGGCCAATTAGAAATATCTCGAGAACTTAAGGTAACTGAATCATAAAAATTGGATAGAAAGGGTTTTGAAGAGTGAACTGTTTTTAGTGAAAATATTTTCATCTATTTGCTACTGCAACTGCAACTTTCGGTTTTGTCGGAAGCTGCTTGTAACTTCTTTTTTTTTTTAATGGGACACTCTGTATATTTGGTATATTTTTACTTTTAGAAATATTCGCGATATTCTAAACACTTTTTGTTAATGCTTCTCTATACCTATTGTGAATCGTTTTTGAGTTATAATGGTTTATTACACTTTTTACCATGTATATAAAGTTCAATATTCTCTAATGTAATTTGAAAAAAGTTTAACTTGTTTAGGAACTTATGGTACTGTCAAAATTGGCATAAAATCAACATCCTAAATTTCGCCTAATTCCTTTTTTGCTTTAAATGGGTATGTGACTTATTATTTTAGAAGAATACGTTTCTCACTATCCAACTTGATTAGTATTCGCTATACCTATCTCTTGCAGTTTTCAAATAAATTAACTTTATACAGTTTTATAACAAAAAATTTATTTATCAAGTAGCCTATGGAATATTCTGACAAATGTCAGTTTTTTCATATTTAATAGTAACTTTGTTGTATGCAGTTGGGAGACAGTTATAATAATAATTTGCCTAATTTTCTTAACAAAATAATAATGTGTCATTTTTAGGATACACAAATGATGATTTTGTAAATTTAATTATAATTTACGGTGAGTGTAACAGAATAGTATCCAGAACTTGCCGTGTTTTTGCTGAGAGATATCCTGAGCAGCCTCGAAAAACTCATAAAATTGTAAAACGTTTGTTGAACAACCGTTCCCAGTTTGGTCAGTTTAAAAGTAAAAGGAAAAAGTCCAAAACCCACGCCGATAATGAAGACTTACAAATCGATATTCTGGGATATTTTGCAGCTAATCCAAATTCATCCTTACGGGAATTAGAGCAATTATTACAGGTATTTAGTAGTGTCAGGCCATGGAGTTGGGGTGTCTCCATTGTAAAAATGACGTGCAACCTATCCTCCATGCTATGGCATGCTGGACGAAGCATACAGTTTGTAGTCAACACCTCGAGGTATGAGCGGGACACAAGGTATTAGCTATAATCTTTCCTATCAGCCTCTCTTGGCTAACTCTTGTTTCTTCCGACCCCGAATGGCTCTTAGGTTTCCGAGGGTAGACGGGTCACTATATTTCCTTCTACCTCATACTCTTCAATGTGGCGAGTCATTAAGTGAGACGAGTCATTCACCGAGCGATTGCTGGTATAAGCAATCCCCCACTTACTGACCAACGGTTTCGGACGGATGAGTTGGTAAGTGGTAGGGCACCCTTTTGGCCTGAGGTTGTGAAATCGACCTCGAAGGCGGATGAATCGAAGATTTGATCAACGGCATACGGATGGAGAAGCACAAGTAAACATTTGACCTAGAAGAAGAAATAAATGATGGACCAACAATATTACAGCAGGAAGTTTATTCCGCAATAACATCGTTAAAGGATGGCAAAGCGGCAGGCCCTGATAATATACAAGCAGAACTACTCAAACTAATGGACAACAAATCAATAGTAATAATCGCAAAGATATTCAACCACATATACAACTCTGGAGAAATACCAACAGAATGGCTGAAATCTGAGTTTATTGCACTCAAAAAAAAAGCCAAAAAAATGCGAAGATTACCGTATTATAAGCCTTATGAGTCATCTCTTAAAATTGTTCCTAAAGATAATTCATACGAGAATCTACTAGCTGTGTGAAAGTCAAATTTCCCCCAACCAGTTCGGGTTCGCAAATGCTGTTGGTACTAGAGAGGCAAGAGTCAGTACAAGTCTTATTCCAGAGATGCAGAGACGTCAACTGCGACATATACGCATGTCTGGTTGAAAACGAGAAAGCTTTTACTCGAGTACAGCACGCCAAGATGATGCAAATACTAAAAGAAGCAGGAACTAACAACCAAGATCTGAAAATAATTAGAAATCTTTACTGGAATCAGACAGCAAATCTCAGAGTTGAAGGTAAACACACTATGTGAAAATCATGGGTGGAGTACGGCAAGGCTGTATTTTGTCTCCTCTAATCTTCAATCTGTACTCTGAAAGAATATTTATCGAAGCTTTGCACGAAACTGAAAAAGGTATTCTACTAAATGGTTACCAGCTAAACAACATCAGATATGCAGATGATACCATAGTATTGGCGGACAACTTAGAAGACTTACAAGTTCTTATGAACAAAATCACGTATTACAGTCAACAATATGGGCTCAATATAAACGTTAAGAAGACAAAGCTTACGATAATTAGCAAGAAAAGGATAACAGAAGGTCAACTCTACGTCAACCAATCTCCTGTAGAAAGAGTAACGCACTACAATTACCTCGACACCATTATAAATGAAGAATGGACCAACAACCAGATTAAAGCACGCATCCAAAGAGCTAGATTCACCTTCAATCGGATGGGGGCCTTCTTCAAAATCCACAACCTCTCTCTTGATACAAAAGTAAGAATGCTGCGATGCTACGTCTTCTCTGTCCTTTTTTATGGTGTTGAATCGTGGACCTTGAACGAAGATATGTGCAAAAAAACTGGAAACATTTGAGATGTGGCTATATCGGAGAATACTGAAGATCCCGTGGACTGACCGAGTCACAAATGAGGAAGTTCTCAGAAGAATTAATAAGAACCGAGAGGTACTGGCCACCAATAAATCTCGAAAGTAACAATTCTTCGGACATATTATGAACTTACTTTACTTTTTCGAGTCTGGATCCGACTACAGTTTTTCTGCCCAATATCGGGCTACGTCTACAGCGTCTACAGCCTTTGTATTTGCGAGCCATAAATCATCGAGGGTGCACTGTGATGGGCAAAGTCTGCATACTCTCAGGTGCTCCACGTTCTGTATTTCCCCACATTCACAGAGTGCCTCGCTATCTGTCTTGATGCCCCATTTAATGAGGTTCTGTTTTACAGGGGCAACACCTGTGCGCATGCGGTTGAGTGTCCGCCAGGTTCTTCAGTCCAGGTTCATTCCATTAGGTCGTTCTGGATGTAAGGGGAACACTTCGGGTGGTTCGACGCTGACATTTCTCATAAACCTTTTCCTTGATTTAAGTCGGCTGATTCCTGGCGGTTCGTCAAACCCGTATAATTGGTGCCGTTCATCGAAAGTTTGCCTGAACTTCTCCACATATTGTGAGGCACATCTACGGTCGTCTGGTGATGCGAATCCAGCTACCCGGTACAATAGGTGTAGAGGGGTAGGCTTCATACAACCGGTAATGATTCTACA